GCTCGCCTTCTGGGGAAGGGCAGGCTGCCGGGCAGTTATCAAAGGCAGTTGAGTTCCTTTTCCTGACCCCCCCCTTCCTCCCCGTTTGGAAATACTCTGTCCATTTAAAGCAATAGCGGTCGCTACCAACCGAAATGGGTGCCTCGACCGCGGAGTCGACGGGACGTGCTCCCGAGGGTAACAGCCCGCCCTGGGCCCGGCTCTGACCGCGCCGGCGGCCCCGGGAGGATGCGACCCGGCCCGGGGAGCGATGAGGGACCGGAGGAACGACTGAGGGGGAGTCAAGTCGGCCGGGGCTGGGGGTTCTAGCCAAGGCCAGGTGGTCTTATCGCTGTTATTTTTATTATTTATGGTCTCTCTAAACGCTCTTGAGTATCCACTTCAGAAGACTGAGAACATTATAATTATGTTCAGATTCTAAATCCTGCTAATACTGCATAGGGGCTTAATGTGTGGGTGTGTGTTATGTTACCAATCGACAGATACATATGTATAAATATAGCGTGTGTCTATATACGGAGGGACCAGAATTTCCCAGATTCTCCCCGTGCTGCCAGCTGTCCTTCGCTTCTCCAAAAGCTCAGACTTTTTCACACGCTCATCAGAACCCTCTGAACCAGAATCTATTGGAGGGGTTGGGGTGGGAAGGAGTCCTGTTCCTGGAAAGGTGGGAATAATGGGTGTTTGAAAGCCTCCGGGGACCTCGGTAGTTTTTGTCACCTGGTATAGTCCTGTCCTCCCCAAGAGAGCTCATGTCCACACCAACTCCTCTTGGATCACCTGCGGCCTCCCCGCCCCAACAATTACCTATCTGCCTTTGACCCCTGGACTAATGTTGCAAACATTGGTTCCGATGTCCCATTGCTGGTTTAAATCCTAGAAGCCTCGGTTTCACTTATCAATGTGATAGCTGGCAGCTCACTCTCGGCTTCTATAAAATGACGGTGGAGAATAGTACCTACCTCCTAAGATTCTTGTGAGTATTAAGTGAGCAAATATATGCAAAGTGCTCAAATACTGGAGTGCTTGTTACATATTATATGTGCTCAATGTTAGCTTCAAATATTTAACATCAGGACTGAAGCAGCTCTCAATGTCCTTTTCTATCTCTTCTCCAAGTGACTCACTGAAATAATAATAGTTTGAATTATAATGTATGTAGTTCGAAAGCAAAATACACAGTAGCAACTGTGGCAAACACTGCTTTAGACTAAGGATGGACAATTTCTTTTTGAGAAGGGGCCTGGTAATAAATAGTTTAGGCTTTGTGCAGAGAGGTAAAATTGGGGACATTGAGTAGATACTTATATAACGAGAGAAAGGAAATATCCATATTTCTTTATTGACAAAAATGTAAGGTGTAATAGTAATTGTAATACAAGTCTAATGATAAGAGGAATGGAACTCTTTTCGGGGGGGGGAAGAATAGCACTTCAAATAGTGTTTTCTATCATCAAAACTGATTGTAAATGTTTATCTGTTAATGCTGATCTGTAACTAGAGTTTATGTATTTTATTTTGGGAAGTATCTTTTCACCCCGATAGGTACTATCAAATATATCAATCCATGAGCACATGATTTTTCTTGAGCATATTTATGGCTTAGAAAGCATTTATGCAATTAGAATTCTATAAGTTCTCTTGTTATTTCCCCTTTAGCATGCCATTACATTTCAGATTAATCACTTCCAATTGAAGGTTAGGTGGAAGCACCTCAGTTGCACAGTTACATGGATTTGAAATAAGGAAATTTCCTTTTCACTTACATCAAAATCCACAAACCACTATTGGAACTGTAGTTTGAGTTGAGAAAAAATAAATGTTCCAAATTCGAGTCAGAATGGAAATCTTGTTTCTTGTTTTAACTTTTGACAGCCTGGAAAGTGTATAAAGCAGATTGATATTATTTGTGATTCAAACAATGTTAGTTGCATCCAAATGATTTAACTGCAGTATATGCTTCACACATAGCTTTATTTTGCCTTGTAGTTTTAGTTGAATTCATGAAAACCATTATCAAGTCTGTAGCAAAAGCTAATTTCCAAAGCCATTCAGAGTTCAATAATAATGATTGAGGGAAGTTCTTTTCATTCATTCATTCCCATTTGTCAATTGTTTCTCTATGCCTTGTTTTCTGACTTCTTTGGGGTAAATTGGGTGTCTTTTTAATATTTCATTTAAATTCCTAGATTGTCTTTCTAGCCGTTCCTCTTTATGTTAAATATAATGGTTCATCTTGACATTACAATTTGCATCTTTAATGATCACAGTCTATCTTCAAATAATATTATTTATTTTATGACTGTATAAGAAATTTAGAACAGCATGCTTTCATTTGTCCCTCTCCCATCTTTTATATTGCCTTATATTTTATTTCTACATGTTATACATTGTAGGGTTTTTTACGTTTAAAAATTGTGAATATATATATGTAGTGAAGGTACTAAAATATATGTCTCTTGTTAAATTGCCTAGATATTTGTCCTTTCTGGCACTTTTTTATTCCTTCTTGCAGATCATATATAATTTCTTTAGACTCTAACTTTTTATAGCATTTCTTGTACTGTAGTGTAGTTTGGTGGAGATGAAGTCTCTCAGCTTTTGTCTATATAAGGATGTCTTTATTTCACATTCATATTTAAAAGATAATTTTCACTATATAAAATTTTAAGTTGATAGATTTTTTTTCACCTTTTGGCTCTTTAAACATGTCATTCTATTTCTGTCTCCATTATTTTCTTATTAAAAGTCATTTGTAGTTCCTATGTTAGCTCCCCATGTGTCATGTATTTTTTTTTCTGGATACTTTTAAAAACTCTCTAAATTTGGTTTTCAGAATTTTGACTATGTTGTGCCTAGATGGACTTTTCTTTCTGCTTGATATTGGCTGCAGTTCTTGAACCTGAAAGTTGATAGTTTTCATTAGTTTTGGAAAATTCTCATCTATTATCTCTTTGAATATTGTTTCTGCCCATTCTCTCTTTCCTCTCCTTTTATTACTCCAGTAATACAAGTGTTAAACCACATGACATTGTTTCAGAGGTCTCAAATACTGTTCTTAAAATAATTTTTTTACTCTTTGTCTTACAATTTTGATGCTATCTCAAGTTTCTTTCCTCTGTATTTTCCAACTTACTGTTAAGTCCAGCTCTCTAATCTTTTACTTCTAATACTGTATTTTTTCTAGAATTTCCATTTTTATGTTCTCCATCACTTTTCTCAAGTTGCCCATATCTTCATACTTGGTTTCCACATTTTCCTTTAAGTCCTTTAGCATTTTTGTCATACTGTGGTAGTTCTAACATCGGACTATTTCTCAATTAAGTTCTATTGATGGTAATCTTTCTTGGCCG